CCCCAAAACCCCAAAACCCCAAAACCCCAAAACCCCAATATTTTATTTAAAAATTGAATATATATTTAAATTTTATCTGAATGCAAACAAGACATCATCGATCAACTTCAGTTAACGTTACTGCTCAAAGAGGGCTTAAAAAGAGAAAGCCGAGTTTTAACGGGATTAGTCAGAGAGCTTCCGATACGAAAAATTTCTTTGACAAAGTCTTTAAGTCCCAATATCTCAAAAATGCTGACAACCATCGTAAGCTAATTCAAATAATCCCGTAGCTATAAATTGGTATTTAAGAGCGAATTATGACCAAAAGAAGGGCATTAGAATTCTTAAATGCATTTTTAAGCACAGAGGGGAGAAAATCTTTAAAAGATCTAAACAGTCCTCCCATGTGCGTACAGGTTCAATAAATTTCTACCATGCATCCACATGAGATTACAGCGACTTCCAAACAAAGAAGGGTTTTCAAAGCAGCTATGGGGCAGAATTCGGAGGAAATAAATTGCATCAATCAAGTAAAGACAAGTCAATTCTGGACTATTCCACTCTTTCCACACTAAGTTCCACTTCGTATCTAACCCAGCAGATGCTGGGTTATTTAGACAAGTGGCAAGTGATTGAAACCAATGAGGAATACAAAAAGATTTTACTTGACTCCTTGTCTTCTTTATACACTTTTGTGAAGTCCTTCTTACCATCCAACACAACAAACAGAGAACTTTTCAAGAAAGTTGATAGTACACAAAGAGTCAAAGCTGAAAGATTCGATAAACTATTTGATCAGGTAAAGATGTCTGTCAGAAATAAGTTTATTCATCAGAAGTACTCAAAGATCCTTGACTCTAACAGATCGATACAAAGTGCTAGCAGGAAGAAGCGCTCAGCCTTGAAGATATCTAATAAGCCAGATCCCAGGAAAACAATGCTGAAGTTTTTCCAAGGTAATGGAAATATTCTTGATCTTGCCTCAGTTCCTCCAAGACAAAATGCCACAACATACTCTGACAACCATGCAGGAAAGGCCTCTCGCAGTAAGAGTAAGAATATGAAGGAGTTTTACTCAACTACAACAGTAGGAATGACCGTGATTCCAAATCCTAATACTCTAAAGAAGACTTGTACTAAATTTAATAGATACAAATCAGCACTGAACTCAGTAGATAACGTAAATCATACCTTAACTAAAAGAATGTCTAACCTCAGAGATAACAGAGCCAGAAGATTTACTGAGGGTATTGGCCAATCTGTCGACTTCAAATACTTTGACACTCAATTCTATGGATAATAATTCAATGCTACCTCCCTCCTGGGGTTTTGGGGTTTTGGGGTTTTGGGGTTTTGGGG